CAATGGTCTTTTCTCCACATGAACGTAAAACAAGGGTGAAGTATTAAAGTTTGAAACTAATTTACATTTTTTAAGGAATCCGAACTGGCTTTAAAAAAAAAAGGGAAAAACATTTATTGCACGTGCATGAGTTTTTTTTGTTAAGTAACAAGAGCTCATTAAAAATATAGGGGACACAGTTTGTGACAAGCCCGAGTAAAGACCACGTGGTTTAAACACTAAAGTTTGAAATGGATCCTTTTAGGAAAAATCTCTCAAAGCTTTGCATGTTCTGCAGGCTCTGAAAGTTGCAACTATAAAATAACTCATGAGACAATTGTAATTGGACATGGAAAAATATAACAAAGTTAAAATTACAGGCCTCTTGTGTATGTTTATATGTTTGTGTATGTTATATGTTTGTGTATGTTAGATGTTTGTGTATGTTATATGTTTGTGTGTGTTATATGTTTGTGTATGTTATATGTTTGTGCGTCATGTCAAATACACTACGTTGACCTTAACAAACTGGACCAATACTAACGTGGGGTGTTGTGAGTGTGTTGTGAGTGTGTTGTGGAGTGAACTGAGGAATGCTGAACGGAATCATGGAATAACAAAAGTTTTCTGTAATGTTTTAATGTGATCATGGAATAATTATTTTTTGTCAACAGCATACGGTGTAAGTACTAGAGATTCAAAGATGACAAGCTTTATTGAACAGGTGTAAAAGTGAGAGTACTCTGGGATGAGTACTCTGAGAAAAGTACTCTGAGAAAGTACTCTGAGATGAAATACCTCGCTGAAGGTACTGGGAGTCCCTCCCTCTGCTGTTTGTCCGGACAGTGATTCGGTCCAACCGCAGTGAGCGGTCATTGGGAGGAGGACAACTTTGGTTTGTAACTCACATTTAGGGGAGTGTAAAATTAGAAACATACATATTGTTAAGTCTGTATTTGGCTACAGCCTCTGCCCTGATGCCACACACCGTCTGTCAATGCAGTTATGTTTTGCCCAATTGGATTGATTGACAGGCCGCACCATGCGAAGAGAGGAAAGTGGGCATTTCTGGTGTTCTAATGTTTCTTTTTCAGATGAAAGATAAACTGCACCTGCTTCAGGGATGACAGTAGTATGGATCATAAGGAAATGAGCCTCTACTTTGGCACCAAAGCCCACAGTATGAATTGAGGACGATCCGGGAGGAGCAACAGGATTGGAACAGTAATCTACACACACACAGATGCATGTTTTATACTTTGGACCACGACCAACAGAGGGGAGTATTGTATTGTCATAGGTGGTCATGGTCCTTAACCTTCTAAATCATTAGAAAGAAGTGTAAAACATATATTTACAAGACCAAATACATAATAGAAAAGGGCAGTCTAAAAAGCAAAATGGGAAAATTATTAAGTAATTTTCAGAGTTGCCAAAATGAAATAAAATTCTTTATTTGTCCCATAGGGGGTCATTCTAAATTTAGTGTTGTGCAAATTCAAAAGGAGAAATAATAGCGCTTATAACATCAAACAGATCTACTCTTTAAGATAATAGATCATATAATAATAAGATAATAATAGAATAGAATGAAATAGTCTGGAGCTATAATGTCATTGGATTCGAGGAGCTATAGGTTGAAAAGTCGCTAAGAAGAGGTGTCAGAATAAACAATAGTAATAATAGTTAGACTAGTGAATAATCAAAATAGTTCTATTGTGGAAATAAGTATCAATAAGGTCAAATTGTTCTAATAACTAAAGTAAAAAGGAATCAAATGGAGTCAGATTTTAGATGTTTCTGTTTTCCACATCTGTAGGAATTAGTGCAGATGTGTTTATAGAGTGTAGTATTAAAATGCAGAACAGAAACGACAGGCTTTAACACAATTTTAAATCTAAAAATAGCTCAAATATAACATTGCTTTTGACGCAGCCTCTGAGCTGCTCCATTGGAGAACAGGTCAAATGTTATTGTTTATTACAAACAGCTGATGTATTTACACATATTAAGTTTGGGACAACTCTTTAAACAGTTATAAGCAGTGGACAGAAGCCAGGAATGTGCTTTTGTTTATTAAATAATTAAATGCATAGCCTTATAATCGTAGAGAACGTTTTAAAATAGTTAAAATCCCTTTCAGGCAACTTGATTTAGATGTATGTCTTTAATATTGGAGAACGACTGTGTTGTTTTTGGAATTGTCTGAAATACAATACATAGAATAGTGATTTGCAGAACAAGAACCGGCCAATAAAAAATCGTCTATTGCCAATGCTATTGTTACAATCAGAACTCAAAAGTTGGGAATATGCTTTGGCTCAAACTACAACCAAGATTTGGAGTCACAATAGAGTGTAAAATAGATAGATGCTTTCAAAAATAGAGATTATTTTTAGACAGGGCTAATATCAAACGGTAAAAAGACCATTTCCTTCATATTATGTCCAAAAGTATTTACTTCAAAGGTAGATAAAGTTCATTACAGTTTATGCACAGTTTTATTAGATACTGTCAAATTCACTTGTTTCAAACATGGGTGAATGTTGACAATGCAAAAAGTTAATGAGATAGATTAATGAGATCGATTAGAACCAACACAGATTCAAGAACATTTGAAAGCATTTTAATGTATTTGGGTATAGCACAAAAGTAGATCTTTAGGTAGTTTTGAGAATTTTAAGAGCTGTCGATTTGTCAGCAACAGATTAGAGAATCAAAATACCGTTGTATAGGGACTAACCCCAGAGAAACCTGCTAAAATAGATTAGCTCCTGTACGGATAATACCAATTTGATTAACGATGTACATTTATCCCAAACGGTCTGAGAGAAGGAAGTGACAGCACTTCCTGGTTCAACAAAATGTGTTTGGAAAAATGAGCAAAGCCCCACAAAATGGCCCAAAGCCACTGATAATGAAAGCAAACCACAGTATAGATAGATTTATTAGATAAAAACATATTTTTAAGAATATGGCTCAATAAAAGCAAAGATGCAAACATATTGGTAAATAGATTAGAATAGTTTAAACTATAGTGAATAGTTTTAGTGCATACATTACAGACGAGGTTGAAGAAGAATCAGAATGACAGCAGTAGTCATCAAAGAGTTTTGTGAAGGAATGTTTCGAATGTTGTTGTGTGTGTATTCTTTCTGTATTAATTCTTCACAGATAACGAGCCAGAACCAAGAACCAAGGCGATGATGGACGAGCTCCCCAGTCTCGGCACCCAGAAGGGATATTGAAAGATTGTGACCTAAATTGGTTTAATATAGGTCAACAGAGGGGAACTGTTGTATATTTTAATATTTGACCATTTGAACATCATAGCCAGAAAGACCTCTGTGCACTCAGGAAAAACCCCAAGGACAAGATAGTACGAGAATCATAAAGGAGGACCAGCTTACAAAAGCCAGACAATTATTGACTCCCAGAATAAACACATGTGTGGCAAATTTGACCTATGGATCCCCCGCAGCCCCCTCCCGCAGCAGCTGCGTTTACACAGGCGCCGCACGGGTGGGGGCATTGTTTGCTTAAGCAGAGACCAGACCAGTCTCAGACCAGAGACCAGTTTCAGACCTGTGACGTCATCGGACCCTGGGCACAGGACCTCCCTGATACGACACGCCCCCTGCTCCCTGAACATAATGCTCTGGCTTGGGAAGAGACGGGAGAATCAGCCGAGGGCCAGGAGAGGGACATATTAGTTTAGTAGCACTTTTTTTGTTGAATATTCTGTATCTGATTGTAAAGATAATTAAATGCAGATGTTAAACGTGAAGATCTCTTGTCTCGCTCATGCATCGACTTTGGATACGTCAGTCAAAGGGAATTATTGACTACAGTTTCACTAAGATGCCATAATTTAAGAGTAAAGATAGAATAACTATCGGAGGTCTAGATACGTAAAAATGAACAACATAATTACCAACAACCCCTTAGCATGCTCTGTCTCTAAAACAGTAAGCAGGTTTCGTCCTTGCTGCACTGCTAGAATAATATACACTTGAAATTGGGAACATAGTACATACGTCACACGAGAACCGCAAACCCCCGTGTACTTGGCTTTCCTGCGTTTCATTTTAGCTTAGCATTAGCGAAGATTAGCTTTGGGAAATCGCCAAAACGTAGAAGCCACCTACGTGGAGCTAGCTAATGATAAGCTAAGGTAAAAACATGTTCAGAAAGTACATACAGTAGTGGTTTGCGTGTTACATACCAACTAATGATGAGAAAACACACTTACCGGTTTGCTGTGGACGCCATGTTCAGATGAACAAGACAAAGTCGTGTTCTGGCCCTGGCTACATCTATGGAGGATTGGCTGATCGATTGCTTTGTTCTTGATTTACCCGGAAATAAAGCATGACATTTTAAGCAACGAAAAACACACTGACACTGAATTTTAAAACATTGAATTTTTGGACACTGAATTTTAAAACATTTAATTTATTTACACTGAATACTTTTTTGTTACAGTTTATAGAATTCAAAAGCAAAAAAAAGTGTTGATAATAAAAACACAAAATAACCTTCATATTTTCACTGCTTGTAATTCTTACACAGCTGAACCAATGACCTCAAGTTTTCAATTAAATTACGGATTATAATACAACTTGTATGTAGTAATAAGCATTTTTATCAACTACTTAGAAAAAAAAACGGGTATAGCTTCTCTAACGCCTACTGTGGAAATTAGCTGTCAGAATAGACTTTACACACACACACACACACACACGTCCTTCTTCTATAGTTGTATTTAAAGATGACAATTGTGTTGTTTTAAAAAATGTTTATGGCACAACAGATAAGTGCTGATGCAGTAGAACAGAACTGCCGAGTCATGTCAGAGACGCTGAGACTGTCATCACTCCAGCTGAGTGTGTGTGAATCTCTGTGTGTGTTTGTCTCTCCGGTGTGTGTCCGTGTGTGTGTGTGTGTGTCTCTCTCTCTGTGTGTGCGTGTGTCTCTCTCTGTGTGTGTGTTTGTGTGTGTGTGTCTCTGTGTGTGTGTACCTTGATGTGGTACCTCTCCCTCACTGAGGCCCTCATGGCCAGTGAAGCAGGAGGGACACAGCTGAGACAGTCCAACAGCAGGAGACAGGGACAGGCCCCAAGAACCCGAGTCACTCTGTAGATGAACAGAGGGAGGCAGCAGAGAGCACACACACCTGCAGAGAGAGAGACACACACACACCGACACACACAGACATACACACACAGACATAGACATACGGACACAGACACACAATTACAATCACATGTTTTTGTTTGCAGCAAAGACTGTATTGTAATTTGAGAAATCACCATCACTAATTCACGTGCAATACTTTTGTTTTCAAATTCAGAAAAATGCTCTGGTTGTGTGTCATAGAAAGGTCATAATAACACCACTCAAAGGTTCTGAACAGTCCTGGGAGGGATGTAATATACATAATATGCAGGGTGTGGTGTAGAGGTGTTAGGGTGCGTAGTGTCCTAACACCTAGTGACCATCCCCGCTGGTGACCCTAATCTTTGTTCATGAGGAGTTTGTGTGTATATATATATATGTTTGTGCTGTTTTATGTTTCTTCCAATTATTATTATTGTTGTTGTTATTATCATTATTATTTATTATTATAGTTATTGTTGTTATTATTATGTGATTGTGATATGTATACCCCAATTGAATATTTGTCGTGCTGGTATCGGCAGAGGTAGTCAACAGACCAGGTGTCACAATAACAAAATAAAAAAGATAGAAAAAGCAGTGTAATTTTGTTGAGGGCATGGGTAGTAAAATGATCTCTGTGATACAACGTCTCAGAGTCCTTTTGTTAGTTTATGTGTGAGTACATGTTTGTGTGAGTTTATTTAGATGTACAGTGCATGTATTTTTGTTTTTTTGTAACCATATTGCGCAAGCACCCACGCACGCAAGCACACACACACACACACACACAAACACACACCCACCATTCCTGTGCAACTCTGAACCCCCTTCCCTCCTGAATCCCCCCCCCCTCCTCCCCACAATGCTACCATACAGGAGTTTGTATAATCTGTATTTCTTTGTATGTAATTACTGTATGTTTTATTAATATACAAGTACTGTATGTTTTCCTTAGATGTGACTACTGTACTCCCCTATCACTGGGTGTTACAAACTCCATAAAAAAATTAAAAAAATGTTATAATAATGTCAAAAAGATGTCATAGTGGTGCAATGAGCTTTTGGACACAAGGGGCGGAGCACAGAATACAGTGTGCACCAGACAAGAACATAAATAAAACATGGAGACTTAGCGGCTCTAATCCAAGCTCCTTTGTATGACTGAGTTTCTGTGTACGAAGGTCTGGGGGTCTCTACTTAGACGGCATCGGATTAAGGGGAAGAAAAAAGATGGATGTAAACTCACAGTCTCCCATGTCTTTGTGGCACTCACACAGCCCTGTGCTCCACTCTCCAGGCGCACTGCTCTCCGGCTGCACCTGCACCACCCGACCGGCCATGAGCTCACAGGGACCGCTGATACCACCAGAGAAGCTCTCAGGTACCGCTGATGCCACGAGATAAGAAGAGCTCACAGGGACCACTGCAGATACAGAGGCAGAATGTCAGGAAATGTGGCATTTGGGTAACCTTGCCTGCAAGCTGAATTCTCGCGGTATTTGTGAGTTCACAAACACTCGAGAATACATCTTGTACCGCTCCCGCTTACACTTTTCGAGTCGAACCACTGGGTGTGCGAGCCAATCACGCGCCAGTCTGGGGGTTTAGGGCGGGATATCCGGGTTTGACGAAAACAAGAAGTGCCGGGCCGAAGCAAAACAAACATGGCTACGCAGGAGGACGGACGCAAAGTCAGTTTTAGCAGAATCTCCAATTTCTTTTTTGAAAGATGAACAGCGAGAGGCGCTTTGTACATTTCTGGACGGCAACCTTGGTAGGCGGGCACACAGCGTCACTTCGCCCAATCAGCTTCAAGTATTCTGCTGCTTACCCCTCCTTTCCCCGAAAGGATTCTCCGGGAGAAATCCCAGATTGATATCGCGGAGAACGCGTTAGAGTTCTACACAATCATCAATCTGGCTTTTGCCAGGTTAGCATTTGGGCCTCATTTATGAAACTTGCGTACGGCCAAATCAGGGTGTAAATGAGGCGTAAGCAAAAAATGTACACTTTTTGGCATTTATCAATCTGGACGTGAGCGTACGGTACACACAGAAGAGGAGGTGGTATAAACGTGTACGCTCATTTCAACCTTCATTACAACACGCCAAAACAGGCATGAAATGCAAGATTCTGACAACAATAAACATATTCCCACTCTGACAACATTATAAGCTGTGTTTTCATTGAGTTCATGTTTCTAAATTTGAATGTGCACATCGGGAAAACTCTAACACTCTGGAAACACGCAAACTTTGAATAAATCACAGATCATGATACGTTCATGATGAGGACCCTCTTCTGTTTTTTCGTTTTTAAATATGACTTGTGTGTATTAAATTCATCTGTATGTTTTTTTTATTTTTAATGTGAAGCGCTTTGTAATCCTGCTCTGTGAAGGCGCTATATACAAATACACCTGGCTTACTTACTTACTTAATGCGTGACCATCTATTTCTCTGTAAATCTGTGGCAGACACTGCGTAATTAGGCATGGCAATTTGTTTTGTCTCATTCACCTCTGGCAAAACAACGTATTTCTTCATTAGTTTTGTGCATAAAGCTCCATTAATGCAGCAATGGCAGAGATACTGCACAGCAGGTGCCACAGAGGTCCCACCGCACTCGCCATATGTGGTGCGTTTTGGAGTTTCTCTGTGATATCACGGACTCATACATCCTTTATCTCTCACAGAGATCGCTCCATTGCATTCACAAGAAGATGTCGCTGACGCTTGACCCAGTTAATGATGAGAGTCACCGCTGAGATATTAATATTCATTCATTCATAAAGAGATGCGCTGCAGTAGGTCTAAACACTAGAGAAAAACCCGTATATAATATAACATGTTTTTTTGACGAAATACTACAATAAAACTCAATATGAACTGTGCGTGTCACTAACAGGCCTTCTCAGGCTTCAAACTAGACTTGCTGGTCAGCTTCCACGCTGAGCTGCCGTAAAAACGGAGCGTTTTCTGAATATTTCTAGGCGTGACTTTCATAAATAGTTTCATAAACTAGTTTTCACCGATGCATTTATCAACAGCCGCGGCTGCGTACGCTCAGATCTGTAAGATCACACATTCATAAATCCTGCGTTGGATTTTGCGTAAATGGAACACACACCAAAAATATACACCCTTTTCTGGGCAATGAGGGCCAATTTGTCTATTTCTTGATATTTTTATAAAGTAATTGTTAAGGACTGGCCTCCTGCTGGGACTCTGAGGACCACAAGGACTGGCCTCCTGCTGGTACTTTGAGGAGCACAGGGACTGGCCTCCTGCTGGTACTGAGGAGCACAGGGACTGGCCTCCTGCTGGGACTCTGAGGAGCACAGGGACTGAAAACCTTCCTAAACCTGATCCTGGAGCCTTCTACAGAGTGTCTGAGTGGTGGCTCCCTACAAGGACAAATACACAAAAATAGCTTTTTTAAGGGTAAAAAGTTTTATAATTCACCAAATTAGTTACAGTTTAGCTCTGTACAAACAAGACAAGTGACTGATTATGGGGAAGGTTTAATGTCTTACCTGGAGAGAAGGAGACCAGTTCTAAAGTCTAAAGCGGCTCCGGACTCAGACTCAGACCAGAGACTGCTTTTGTTTCTGGTGTCAACAAAGAGCGCTCTGGTGACGAAAGGTGTTAGTGTAGACCCAGGACTGAGGCTGTAGACCCAGGCTGTAGACCCAGGACCGAGGCTGTAGACCCAGGACCGAGGCTGTAGACCCAGGACTGAGGCTGTAGACCCAGGACTGAGGCTGTAGACCCAGGCTGTAGACCCAGGACCGAGGCTGTAGACCCAGGACCGAGGCTGTAGACCCAGGACTGAGGCTTTAGACCCAGGACCGAGGCTGTAGACCCAGGACTGAGACTGTAGACCCAGGACTGAGGCTGTAGACCCAGGACTGAGACTGTAATGAACCACTTCTTGTATTTCTTCAGTTTCACAGATTTCTCGCTGAGTCATGTTGTGTTCTGGAAACACATGCTCTCTGCTGCACTGTTGTTCACACTGACAACACACAAACACACACACTTTCCCTCGACTAAAACGAATAAACAGAGTCAGGGAACACAACTTTTATTTTGTCATGACTGATAAATGTAGCACAAAGATCACAACATGTTCTTTAGCCCCGTTTCCACTAGTTCTACTCTACTTTACTCTACTCTACTCTACCCTACCTTACCCTACCCCACTCCACCCTACCCTACCCTCCTCTCCTCTACCCGACCTGACCCTCCTCTACCCTACCCAGCCCTTCTCTACTCTTGTTCCTGGTTCTATCCAGGCCAAGCTCGTACTAAAGTGTTCTAACTGACAGTGATTGGCCACAGAGCTGAAGGAATACATGGTTACCAAGGAATTTACACTGATACTGGTTTGTTGTGGGGAGGTTGCTAGGATACGGTCCCAGAAACTAAAGCGTCATGCAAACAAAACCAAGTAGAAAAGAGACAGGGCTTTTCTATCTAGTTTTAGTACTCAAAAGATTCCAAAAGATTCTTCTTCTTGTCTTACAGAACTGGCGTCACACCCCAATAACTGCAGATCTGGAATTTTTCTGAAGCAGAAAAACAAAAAAGACATTAAATGTTATTTTTTTGTATTATTGTTGATTCTGTGTCAACTCACTGCAGAGACAGACGGACAGATGCAGGAGGGAGGGCCGGTCTGACGGGACCAGGGGGGATGGGCACCTCGGTCTCCTGCTGAGGGAGGAGTCTGGGAACACATCATCATCCTCATCATCCTCATCATCATCGTCATCATCACCATAATCATCGTCATCGTCATCGGTCCACACCAGAACAGACCAGACTCACAAAAAATAATCCAGAGTAGCTTTTAAAACTGTGGGATCGACCCAGTCTCGATGTTGATGCTAACAATAGCATCATCTATTTTCTTCCACTTTATCCAGACTTCCCTCCTCTGGTCTCCTCCCTCTGTGTCCAGGGTCTCCTCCTGGTCCCATTACCCATAGCTCATGACCAGAGGTGAAGGTGGGGACATAGAGCTCTGACTGCAGACACTGCTCCCTCATGAGCAAGGGAGAGGGAGGCCTTTGCCATTGGGCTCAGCTCTGTCTATACTGAATGTAGTAGACAGATACATAGATAGATACTTTAAGATTAAGAGATCCTTTATTTGTCCCACAGTGGGGAAATGTCAATGTTATCCCCGTAGGAGAAATGCAGGTGTCCACTAGCAGCAAAAACTAAAAGGTTAAATTGATCAATCTAAAAGCATGTAACAATAACAATAATAAAATACAATAGTTCTTCAGGTCACAGCAGCAGAGGTGGAGCCGCTTGGTTCAGACCATTTTCTCTGCTCTAGTCCAAAGGTAAATGCTAAATGCTTCATTAGCATTATCCAAAAAGTTAGCATTCCTCCAGTGGATTTTCTCCTGATCCACTTGGTTTGGACCATAATCTTCTCTGCTCTGGTCTGGACCAGTGTAAAACCATGAATCCTCTCTGGTCTGGACCATGGACACTGTACTGCAGCAACATCCCAGGCAGAAAAAAGGAAAATAAAAATTGTAAAACACAAAACAACTGCTTCAGAGGCACTCAGGACTCGCTGCAGTTTCCAGAACAATCTAAAGTAAACATTATTATTAGTACAATATTGACTCATACTGTATTCAAAATTAGCAGAAATGACACAGAAGGAAAAGAGTATGTGTTGGATTTGGATGCAGCCGTGTGTTTATTTTCTGTGAACAATTGTCCTGATGTCTGTGGATAATTTTTTTTTTTTTTATATAGTTTTAAAGTCTAAAACTCTTCCCTACAGTCCTCTTAAAGTCCACTGACCTTTGCATCTGCAGCGACGGAGCCAGCGCAGTCGGACAGTGCTGTGTCCTTCTGCACCACAACTAAAGTTAATACATCTGTCATTAACTTTCTCACAATAAGACACAGTGTTACCTGGATCACAACGACACCGAGGGAGCAGCAGGAGGGTCAGGAGGAGGGTCAGGAGGACCGCCCTGGACATGGTTTGGTCTGGGTCTGGTGTGAGTCTGAGAGCTTGTGCAGGACTTTAGTGTAGCTGTGTTAAATATACCTGGATCTGTGGCCCCCGCCTCCACAGACCTGGCTCCAGTCCTGGTCTCAGTCCTGGTCTCAGTCCTGGTCCCAGTCCTGGCTCAAGTCCTGGTCCTGTCTGAGCCTGCACCAGGAGCTCAGTGTTTCGTTAGCCCTCATGATAGCATGGCTTCACCGCAGCTATGTGATGGTCCCGATACCATCAACAAATACTGGTTTGAAAAACTGTTAGCGCTTGTTGTTTGCAGGAAGAAGGTCCTGGACTAGACACAGACTCTGCACATGTCCCAAAATGAGTTTTGTTTGTTTTATTTCTGGGCTTGTTGGTGACACTGGGGACTTTTGCGGATGTATTCCAATGTGGTTTTACTGCAAATGACAAATAAAATGAATCTGAAAAGAATCTTCTATCAGCCTCCTCCTCCTGATAAACTGCTCAGGGGATTTCTAATGGCCTCTGTCTCTGCACCCGTCACACATAGTCACACATAGTCACACATAGTCCCACATAGTCCCACACCTGGTCTGTACGTACAAGGAAAAACAAGCAAGAACTTTCTGGTGCTTTCCCCTGAAGCCTTGTGTCTGAGGAGCTGCCACACTGGTTTGGTGACACATAGTGCTGGTTTCTACACATCTGACACCATTCATACAAGAGAGAAAATGTGTTTAGATTTCTGTTTTTTATCTCATCAGTCGTACATTCAGATTCACACGGCTTTATCTATCTCACCATGCAGGGCCAATGTGTTTGAGCAACAGAGGGAATAAAAACATTTAAAAGATTATTATCAGAAACGAATCATCCCAAACCCTGACCCTCTGCACTGTCTGTGGATTGATTCATGTTTCATTATTACTTTTATACTGTATTTGTGCACTTGTTTTTTTACATGTTGTTTTTCTGTGTTCATATGGATCCCAGTGGTCTTATGGTCACTTATGTACAACTAAATGTCTTAATGAGGATGAAACAAAAATGTACTTCAGTCTAAAGCGCCCTGTTCTATTATTATCTCCTTATATTTTAAAGCTGGGGGCGACAGTAGCTCAGTTGGTAGGGCATTGGCCTATGGGCCTGGAGGTTGTGAGTTCGATTCCCACCATGGGACCTACTCCAACTGCTCCCACTGATGACTGCTGTCGTTGTGTCCTTGGGCAAGACACTTAACCCCACGTTGCCTGAAGCCCCCCGCTGAAAGATCAAGGCTGTTTCACAACTGATGGAGCAGCCATCTTCCTGTGGACTCACCCCCTGCAGAAGATCAGCGAGGGACTGGTGCTATGAGCGTTGGGTGGCAGCTCTCATTGCCACCCCCCTGACCCAGAAATGGACAAAGGGGTTGAAAATGAAATGAAAAATGAAATGAAATGAATATTTTAAAGCTGGGGTTCCTAACTGTCAAGCTACACGTTTTTTTGTTTTACCTTGCTACAATCCACGGAACTAACACTTGGTTCTGAAAACGGTTCGGTTCAATTAAATCGCTATCGTTAGGAACTCGAAAAATGAAAAAGAGAGGACCCCCATTACTCAGGCAGGGTAAGTTTATTTATATAGCACAATTCATACACAAGGCAACTCAAAGTGCTGAACAAAATAAGAAAGCATTAAAATCATAAATAATCACAGAACATTAAAAAGAAAGATAATTAAAGCCGCAAGCGGCGTCAAACGGCCCTCGCCGCACCGCGCGCACCGCCCCGCACCAAGCCGCCCCGCATCAAGCCGCCCCGCACCAAGCGGATCTGCACCACGTCGCCCCGCACCAAGCCGCAACGCGCCGCTCCACAACCCCCCGCACTACGCCGCACCACACCGTACCACGCAGCACCGTGCAACGAAGGTGGGGCCGCCGTGTGATGATTTGTTGCTGTTGCCATAGAAGAACGTTAGTCAAATTGTAATGAATATGATGATTAGAGCTGTTTGGCAACCCATGTAAAACTTTGCCTCAATCTGTAGGGGGCGCTATTGGGCCAATTTCAAATATTTCACTTTCACCTGACCTAAACCCTGGAGTTGAACATTGGATTCAATTTTTGTGCAAATCAAACTTTGTAAGTGCAAACGGGAGCAAAATTAATGTTGTGAAAAACGGTCAAAAAACACCCACATTTTGCCGCTCCGCTGCTCAAACAACGTTTCACTGATTAAAAATCCCTGAGGTCATTTTGATGGTACATGTGTTGCGGATGATTGCGGATAATTTTTCCATTTTGCAGTGAAATTTATGGGCCTCCTGTTTGTCAGAGGGCGGAGCCATGATAACATTTCGGTCGTATCTTGACTTGAGGAACATGTGTACCGAATTTCATGGCTCTACGACAAACTTGACCTCTGAAACTCCCATTGGCTGTTGTAGGTGGCGCTGTTCCGGCATTTTTTGAGTCCCATAAAAATAAACACCCAAATATAAAATTTTTCACCAGGTCTGATGTTCGGGCAAAATTTTACAACTTTTCATGCATGTTCAGGGGGTGAAATTAAGGCTCAAAGTGCAGAATTGGACATCTCTCGAGCAAAAACAATAGGCCCTTTCCCCATTCGGGGCTCGGGCCTAAAAATATAAAATATACAATCCTTCAGTTGTATGCACAGCTAAACAGAACTGTTTTGAACCTGGTTTAAAACATTGTCAGAGAGGAGGCCTGTCTCGCATCTTCAGGAAGATTGTTCTAGATTTTAGCAGCCGATCAGCTCCCAGCCCAAATAGTCAAATAGTGGCTCACAGGGATTTGCATGCTAAATATACCACAAACAAAGGGAAGAAAACATGACTCAAGTCGTGGTTTTGTCTAAGTATTTTAATTTAAAGCTGCACTAACTGAGGCCGCGGACTCGCTGGCCTCTCTCTTTCTGCTCCCCTCCCCGCACCCACGAAGCTATCGCCCCCCACACACACCCACTGTTGTTGACAGAGCTAGCGTCTCCCAATATGGATAGTACATGGACATGGATTTTCACGTGGATGGCGTGACCATAGAACAATAGAACCGGGAAGCGCGGAGGAACAAGACTTTCTTTTGGATGAATGTTTTACTGTGTAAGCAGTAACCGGTGACGAAGACACTCGAAGCTCCACCGCTTGTTGTGCTAACTCAGCCGTCTATGCTAACGGACCTGTAGATTTCTCACGAAAGTGGGGGCCAGTGGTCCGCTGTGATTGGTCACAATCTGCGACCCGAAACACATCTCTTCCTTGTTTCATCAAAACTCGATCTAAAATATAATGTCACGCCAGCACAAATCTGCGCTACTTTTTCTTCAAAAGGACGTATATCCCAATGCACTACATGGAGATGGATAGCACTTTCGTAATGAATACAAAAATAAAGTCAGTTAGTGCAGCTTTAAGACAGCCTTTTGTGCTCTCAATTGTCCATTAGTCTCCTTCTGCTGGGACCATAGACTGTACATATTAGGCACAAACAAAAGGTATTGTAAACATGCAACATACAAAATCCTCAGGTGCATAAAAAGTTCGGTACCCCAGCTTTAAGTCAGAAAGAGCAGAGCGTGACTTAAACCAACACCCACACACTGGCTGCGTCCAATTTCCCTCCTTCTCCTTCCTTCTCGTTGACCAGTCTGGCTGTGAAATTCAACTTAAGCAGCTTCAAAACACTCTTAAATGCTCTAAAACTTCACGCCCTCAACCTGGAACTACTTTACTCTCACAAAAACTTCCATTTGAGAGTGACGAGGAGGAGCAAAGGACGCAGATACGCATCCACACACACACCGTACGATCTGCTCGAAACTCCCGGTGACACACCTCCACGAGTGATCCACCGAGCTCCACGGCCCCTCCCGCGGACACCCAGCTCTCTCCCCGCGGCCACAACATCCACGCAGCCCCGAAGAGACACGACACGACGCGGCAAAGCGAGAGGAAGACCCGGGTGGACGCCGAAAACAAGCGCGCTCCGTGGGGTCTCGTCCGTAAACAAGCCTGGATCACACGTTTTCCCATCAACAAGGTAACACAGCGTTTACAATATGTTATAATCGACCGGATATGTCGTTTTAACTTGTATTTAAAGGCTTAATCTTTACAAATGAACTAACTATAAACTTAAATTTATTTGTAGTAATGTATTATGGAGTATAAACACTTACTAGCATAGCCGCCAATGCAAAGTATACGAGTAAGGGATCACTGCGTCGGGGAAAAAAATTGCAGACGTCAATACTAGCCAATTTTCTGATATTTTTCTGAAATCTGCATGACTTAAGTGTTGTGTATGTGTTAAAACCAGTACATAATTGCCTGTTTGTGAGAAGCCATGCTGCTTTGTGTTGATAATAGTAAGAATACAGTCTAAATGTTGCGTGTACCAGCGAATGCAGCAGTGGAAACACCATGATGCACGTAAACAAGAAGGAAAAGGGCTTGAAACGTGGCTGCGGTGGAAATGGTGGTTGTGGTTGATGTTGTAGATGACTGTGCGTTAAATGATGTGGTTTTGGTGGAGTTACACAGCGTAGAGTGGGTGTATGAGCGCTGTGTTGACTGTGTGGGGGGGACGGAAGAGGCGCGAGGCTGACATCTGGCGGCTGCTCAGGGGAAGTGCAGGACTTATGAAACAAACAAAAAATGTGCGGAGTAGTCAGAACTTACAGTGATGATGGTTGTTTTCGTTGTGAGAAGAAATGTCATTGTAATAAATATGTACCTAACTTTCCTGTTAAATAAATAACACATCAGAAAGTCTTAAAGCCAAACTTACACATATAGGGCCAAAACTCGTCAGACCTGTTTTAGAAGCTACCGATTTGAATCTAGTTTCTGAACATACTTTTAGTTTCAGATTCTGTTTCTTTGCCATTTGCAGGAAAACCACATTGGAATGAATGTGCAAGAGTCTCCAGCAGCGGCGGCACCAGGGAAAGGCCTGACTCAAATTTTGTCTTCGCCTCTCAAGTCATAAGCCGTTTATATTTAAAAGTCAAAATTTAAATATTGTTATTATTATACACAAATTATCGCCTAAATTTTGCGTTCTAATGTTTTTTGTAAATGTAACCCCCTGAGCGTCACCATGTTCCTACGTTGCTTCGAAATATAGTTCAGTTTATTGGCTGATCAATTTTGTCCAATAAGCTGCATGATCATATCAAACAGCGCGAAACCGATGTGAAAAGCTCGTTCCCCGAGAACAACCAGCTATTCCTCGTCTTAAAGATTGACTTTTTAATTTTAGTTTTAAGAAAGTTCAGCGTGAACTTTGTGAGGTAGAGGAGCCAGAAGAGGCCGCTCACAGAAGAGGAGTCAGGCCAGGCTTGCCTTCCCGGCGTGTGTGTGTGTGTGCTCGAGTGTGTGCGTGTGTGTGTGTGCTCGAGTGTGTGCGTGTGTGTGTGTGTGCTTGAGTGCGTATGCGTGTGTGTACGTGCTTGCGTTTGAACCATATTATTTGAATTTGCGAGCAAATTATACCTTCTCACTAATCTGCAGGCCTACCCATAATTGCAAACCTGGCGCCACTACTGGTCCCCAATGTGCGCCAAAGTACATACATAAAACAAGATAAAAAGTAGGCAAGGCAAGTTTATTTGTATAGCACAATTCATACACAAGGCAACTCAAAGTGCTGAACAAGATAGCATTAAAATCATAAATAATCACAGAACATTAAAACGAAAGATAAAAATATAAAATCCCTCAGTTGTATGCACAGCTAAACAGAACTGTCTTTAACCTGGTTTTAAACATTGTCAGCGAGGAGGCCTGTCTCACATCTTCAGGAAGATTGTTCCAGATTTTAGCAGCATGAATCTGAAAAGCAGCCTCCCCATGTTTAGTTCTGACTCTGGGCACTAACAGGAGTCCAGTCCCTGTGCTCCTCAGAGTCCGGGCTGGTTCATATGGGACTAACATGTCACTAATATATTTTGGTGCAAGGCCATGGAGAGACTTGTACACAAGCAGAGCTGTTTTAAAGTCTATTCTCTGAGCCACAGGAAGCCAGTGCAGAGACCTGAGAACTGGACTAATGTGGTCGTACTTCCTGGTTCTAGTCAGGACTCGAGCTGCTGCATTTTGAATGTACTGCAGCTGTTTTACAGTACAAGTACAAGAAACACTCGTCACCGTGGAACTAATTAACAAAAACAGAGAGACCAGAGAGAGGCCAGAGGGTGGTAAGAAACACCAGAGAGAGAGCGAAAGAGAGAAACCAGAGAGAGACCAGTGAATGAGAGAAGAAGCTGGAACATGGCTTTTCCAGGGGCCAGAAGAGTCATGGAACATTCTCTGTGTGTTTGTGTAGATTCAGGATCGTATCTGCGCCATGTACGGCTCGTCAGGCCTCCCGGAGCTCATCCCGCCCTCCGGACCCCCGCGGCAGCCGGGCCCCGGGGGACAGTACAACCCGGGTCACCCACAGGTTGAGGGCCACGCCGGGGGAACCAACCCCCAGCGGCTCGGGCAGAGGGCGCCCAAGCTGGGCCAGATTGGACGCTCCAAGAAAGGTTAGGGTCTGTGTGGCATTTCAGATCTGTGTGGTCTCTCTCTGGTGTCTCTCTGGTCTCTCTCTCTCTGGTCTCCCTCTGGTCTCGCTCTGGTCTCTCTCTCTCTGATCTCCCTCTGGTCTCGCTCTGGTCTCTCTCTCTCTGATCTCCCTCTGGTCTCGCTCTGGTCTCTCTCTCTCTGATCTCCCTCTGGTCTCGCTCTGGTCTCTCTCTCTCTGATCTCCCTCTGGTCTCGCTCTGGTCTCTCTGGTCCTGCTCCTGCCCTGTCCTCTACAACTATATTTAACAGTGTACGCACGGCTTTTTACAGCTGCAGCAGCGCTCAGACCCACAACCAGCCGGTTTCATAGTTCCTAGTCAGCTGAGGACCAAGTTAACATTGGTGTCTATGAGGAAATCCTAAACCCTCTCCTTCTCTCTCTCTTTCTCTCTTCCCCCACAGTGGAACTCGAAGACGAAGACCTGGACGATATCATGAACAACAACAACAACAACAACAACCACCAGTGTCCCGTGTCTCTCTCGCCCCTCTCCTAATCCCCCCGGTCTCCCCCTCTGTACCTGTGTAAGTGCCAACAAGCCACGCCCCCTTCTGCCCGGCCTTCTCTCTGCGTCACCGGCCTCTCTCTACGGCGACACAAAATGGCCGCCTGTACATAGCGGTTGCAGGACTGTTCCGGAAGGACCTGGCTCCGCCCTCGTACCTGGCCTTTCTCTGGACTCTACGGACTCTTGGCGGGACAATTTTTATGGAAAAAGTCTTAACAAAGGGCTAGCACTGGAGAGAATGGTAATCCAATGTGTTTTTCGTAGCCGCGGTTACTTATTCAAAGACCGGATATATGGGAATTTTTGAACAAGATTTTGGTCGTTCTGCGAGTGAAGGAGTTGAAGGGAAAAGTTTGATTTTTTTAAATTTATAACGGAGGGAAAATTTGTTACGTATGGATGTGAAGTTTAATGCATTTGGTTTTGACCTACTACCGGAGAGGACGCTCACTTAACGTCCACGTATGAACTTTGACAACAAATGAATTTTTTGTAATTATTATTTTTAAAAGTCTCAAAGTTTTGATCTAATTTGTGATTGGAGGAAGTGGGAGACGATTGCAGCTCCAGCCAAGAACAATTAACGAAGTCTACAGCTGAAAAAAGACATGTGTGAGTTTTGTTAAGTGGAAAGAACGGGACAACTGTCAGGTTAGCAACTAGCATTAGCATATTAGCATGAGAGAAATCAAATCAATCAAATCTTAGCTTTTTGTGATTTGTTTTGGCAAGAAACTGTTATTCTTGCCACAAAGAAGTGCTGTACAATTGTTTTAATATACAACAAATAATAACAAAAGCAGCTCTTGTCAAGAAGATTGGTTTGCGAGAGGAAACGGGACAACAGTTAGGCTAACGACTAGCATTAGCTTTAGGAAAATGGCATAAAATCTTGGCTTTTTGTGATTTTTTTTTTTTTTTTGGCAGGAAATTATCACTCTTGTCGGAACGATTTTAAAATATACAAAGAAGAACGGTTTGTAGAGAGGAAAAAAAAACGTGACAACAATTAGGCTAACGACTAGCATTAGCATTAGCCTCCGACTGATGACACAGGACTCGGTCAAATCTCGATCCATTTTCTGGCGGGAAAGCATTTCTCTTCCCACAAAGCAGTACAAATTTACAAATATATCAAACATTTACATTTTACTAATAAATGTGAAACTACTACATTTTTGAGGAAAGTATTTTTGATGCTAATTTTCACTGACTTGTCCATATCATAAATGAACCAAAATTGCACAAACTAAACCATATATTTATATAGAGAAATTCCAATGGATTATAAGTTATTGAATTGTATAGTTTTTGTTTTGTTTTTGGCCTTATTTTTTGTCTTGTTTATGAATTGTTAATGGTGCAATGACTTGTGTATCTCTGGATGCAAAAACTACTGTTGTGATGTCACGTACTGCTGCCTCTCGGACTTCTACTCGCGTGGATCTGGCGCGTGAATATTATTATTTTCGTTGGATTTGAACAGTTTTTTTCTTCCTCCGACGGTGCACTTTGTGGCATGCCAGTCCTGTGCCGTGAGTGCTAGTTCTTCTCTGCATGAGTTTTGTCTGTGGAGCATTTCTGATCACGAAAGGGCTACAGTCCGGTCCTCGATGCCTTTGAAGAGTCTTAACATGATTTATTATCTCTCTCTGTTCTTTCTCTTGTCTCTCTCTGGTCTCTCTCTGGTCTCTCTCTGGTCTCTCTCTGGTCTCTCTCTCTGGTCTCTCTCTGGTCTCTCTCTGGTCTCTCTCTGGTCTCTCTCTGGTCTCTCTCTCTGGCCTCTCTCTGGTCTCTCTCTGGTCTCTCTCTGGTCTCTCTCTGGTCTCTCTCTGGTCTCTCTCTCTGGTCTCTCTCTGGTCTCTCTCTGGTCTCTCTCTGGTCTCTCTCTGGTCTCTCTCTCTGGCCTCTCTCTGGTCTCTCTCTCTGGCCTCTCTCTGGTCTCTCTCTCTGGTCTCTCTCTGGTCTCTCTCTGGTCTCTCTCTGGTCTCTCTCTGGTCTCTCTCTCTGGTCTCTCTCTGGTCTCTCTCTCTGGTCTCTCTCTCTGGTCTCTCTCTCTGGTCTCTCTCTGGTCTCTCTAGTCTCTCTAGTCTCTCTGGTCTCTCTGGTCTCTCTCTGGTCTCTCTCTCTGGTCTCTCTCTCTGGTCTCTCTCTCTGGTCTCTCTCTCTGGTCTCTCTCTCTGGTCTCTCTCTGGTCTCTCTAGTCTCTCTGGTCTCTCTCTGGTCTCTCTCTCTGGTCTCTCTCTCTGGTCTCTCTCTCTGGTCTCTCTCTCTGGTCTCTCTAGTCTCTCTGGTCTCTCTGGTCTCTCTCTGGTCTCTCTCTGGTCTCTCTCTCTGGCCTCTCTCTGGTCTCTCTCTCTGGCCTCTCTCTGGTCTCTCTCTCTGGTCTCTCTCTCTGGTCTCTCTCTCTGGTCTCTCTCTCTGGTCTCTCTCTCTGGTCTCTCTCTTGTCTCTCTCTGGTCTCTCTCTCTGGTCTCTCTCTGGTCTCTCTCTCTGGCCTCTCTCTGGTCTCTCTCTCTGGCCTCTCTCTGGTCTCTCTCTCTGGTCTCTCTCTGGTCTCTCTCTCTGGTCTCTCTCTCTGGTCTCTCTCTTGTCTCTCTCTGGTCTCTCTCTCTGGTCTCTCTCTGGTCTCTCTAGTCTCTCTGGTCTCTCTGGTCTCTATCTGGTCTCTCTCTGGTCTCTCTCTCTGGTCTCTCTTTTTGCATACTTAATGGTTTTTTGAGGTGTTGCGATGATTTCGTCCGACTGTGAAACTACACTGTAAAAGATAAAGAGTTGATCTGAGTTTTGTGTTTTCGATGTCGTCGTTTGTTGTCGATAAAATATATTTATGGAATGTTTTATTCAAAAGAACTATTTTATTAACGTCACATTTGGAAGAAAGACGTTTTTAGCACTTTCCAAAATGAAACGTAAACAAACTTAATTAAGTTTTTTTTTATTTAATTTTCTACGTACGTCTTTGTAGTTTCTTTAGATTCAATTATTTATTATTTTGTCATATTTCCTACATCTTTATTTGTCTGCTTTTGGAGGCCAGTTTATTCGTATAGCACAGTTCATACAAAGTGTTTAACAAAAGAAGAAAAGAAAAACTAAAGTATTAGCATCGTCAATATGTCACCTGTAGACAAACCAGATGTTTGTACAGTACAAATATGAGACACTTTAAAACACTTTAGGACCAGCTGGAACCAGGGCCAAGAAGTCTCTGGTCCTTACTGGTCTGACTAGTCTCTCTCTCTCTCTGGTCTCTCTCTCTTTCTGGTCTCTCTCTTTGGTCTCTCTCTCTGGTTTCTTTCTGGTCTCTCTTTCTCTCTCTGGTCTCTTTCTGGTCTCTCTAGTCTCTTTCTGGTCTCTCTAGTCTCTTTCTGGTCTCTCTCTCTGGTCTCTCTCTAGTCTCTTTCTGGTCTCTCTCTCTTTCTGGTCTCTCTCTCTCTGGTCTCTCCCTCTGATCTCTCTCTTTGGTCTCTCTGGTTTCTTTCTGGTCTCTCTCTCTCTCTCTGGTCCCTCTAGTCTCTTTCTTTGGTCTCTCTGGTCTCTCTCTCCGGTCTCTCTCTGGTCTCTCTCTCCGGTCTCTCTCTGGTCTCTCTCTCTGGTTTCTCTAGTCTCTTTCTGGTCTCTTCCTCTGATCTCTCTCTTTGGTCTCTCTCTCTCTCTGATCTCTTTCTAGTCCCTCTAGTCTCTCTCTGGTCTCTCTCTCTGAGCCCCTTTTGATCTACATCTTTTTGTTTTCTTCACCACTTACTTTTTCACCCCTTTCCCTTTGAAATATTCATGTTAGCTTAGCATACCCGGTTAGCATACCTGCTACACGCGACTCAAACTCTCTCCAAACTCATTTCAGCTCCTTTTATTTTTTACAGTGTGAAATTTATCCTACCTTGAAACTCGCTGAAGCCTCAAATGTGTTTTTGATCCTGACGAAGCTTCGACAATCTGCAGTTTGTGAGTCTGAGCTGTCGATGTTTGCATGGACACTTTCTTATTGCATTTCTGGAAATAAAATGGATGATTACAGAAGGATTTGAAACTTTTTTGTTCATATTGGGGGTTTAGTGGTTCATAACAGTCACACTGCAAAAAATGATGTATTTGTTCAACGGTGTTAGCTTTAAGGGGCAACAGTAGCTCAGTTGGTAGAGCACTGGCCTTCAGGCCTGAAGGTCTTGGGTTCAATTCCCACCTCCACCGACTCCCACTGATGACTGCTGTCGTTGTGTCCTTGGGCAAGACACTTAACCCCACTTTGCCCAAAGCCCCCACTGAAAGATCAAGGCTATGCTCACACTCAGAGAGCAGCCGTCCTCCTGTGGACTCACCACCTGCAGAGGGTCAGTGAGGGGCTGGTGCTATGAGACTTGGGTGGCATCTCTGATTGCCACCCCCCTGACCCAGAAATGGATTAAAGGGTAGAAGATGGATGGATGGATGGATGGTGTTAGCTTCATAAAGGGTTGCCAGGGTGGTTGCTAAGGCAAGCTGGAGTTTCCCAAATAAATTAAGACTAATTAAAAACCAAAACAAAAAAAGTATCTAAGAATCTGTTGAGGAGCAGTCATGGGTTTGAAAACAGAGTTTTTAAAAAGAAGGGACGGGCGTATGTGTTATAGAAGCATGGAGCGTATATTAGGAAGACGTGTTGCTAAGGCGGTCGCTAGGGAATGCGAAAGTTTACCAATGATGGCCTCTGATTGGTCAGTCCTTATCACAGAGAGACATAAACCCGCCTCAGTCCTGGGTCTACAGCCTCAGTCCTGGATCTACAGTCTCAGTCTATCATGCCACATGTCGGTTACTTTTTAAATTGTGAAGCGAGTGATTCCTGATTGGACGAAATAAATTCAAATCCTCGATCCTCCCTGTCATTGGTTCAAACTGTTTTCCTCCAGCCAATGGTACTGGTCCTGGTTAGTCCAAGGGGGAGGGGCTGTTTAAAATATATTAATGTTCGAGAATACTCTCTGTGCTCTATTACGTCACTGCTC